AGAGGTACCACTGTATCTAGGTTTTAATGATGGAGATGCAGGAAAAAGAAGAGACAACCTGTGTAACTGCAGAAAGGGGAGAAGGGAAGTTGATAATATATTCAAATGTCTTAAAAGATTATCTGATATGTTCTGTAAAATGAGAAAATATGAAAATAAAATTTATTTTAACAAATAGAATCATAGAGCTGGAAGGGACCCTGAGGATCATCTAGTCCAACCCCCTGCGATGCAGGAATATGCAGCTGTTCCCTATGGGGATTGAACCGGCAACCTTGGGCTTATCAGCACCACACTGAGGTACCCAGACAATTTGACAAAGCTGAATTGTATGCATCCCCACCTGCAGGCTGCAGACACACCATGCGTTTAAAGCTCGTGGCTCAAATGAATCCTGGGAACTCTAGTTTATGTGGGAAGGTTCAGGGATTCAGGAGAGGATATATTGTCTGATAATACCCTTTCCAACTTGTGTTAACAAGTTTACAATTTAGCAGAGTAACATTCCCCTTTTTAAACTTGCAGCGGATGCATTTGCTCAGGCTCGCTAAAGCCTCTATAATAACTGTTCTGGTATGTTCCCCTTATTCCCTCATAAAAGATAAGACACAACACAGTCATCTACAAAAGTATAAAAAGATTTACTCACATATCATTCTGTTCACAATAGGATCCCAGAAGGCAGACTTAGCTTAGAAAAGTAACTTATACCGGGAATCTATCTCATAAGGAGATAGTCCCTTTGTTGTTTTTTTTAAAGAAATATTTATTAAGGTTTTACAAAAAACATAGGTTTACAGAATATAGAAAATTAAAACAAAAATTAACGAACTAAAAAGCACGCATAGGAAAAAGGAAGAAAAAAGATACAAAATGCAAAAAAAAAACCCCACAGATAACTAAAAGAAAAAATTTAAAAATAAATCCATTTTTCAATATCTTTAGGCTCGTTTACTTATTTCCTTGACCTCCTCACACCTCCCCTTTTTGTACTCCCGTTTAGAAAAGCATTTCAGCAAATCCTTACCCTCTTTCATTTATCTTTACTCTATATCTTAACCTATTATAACTATATATTTTCATCCATTATCAATCCGTATTTGCATATTCTTGTTAATCTTATTACCAATACCACTTCTTTTCAATCCAACATCATTTTAACATTCATTAATTTTACAGTATTTCTGCAAATAGTCTTTAAATTTCTTCCAATCTTCTTCCACCAACTCTTCTCCCTGGTCTCGGATTCTGCCAGTCATTTCTGCCAATTCCATATAGTCCATCACCTTCATCTGCCACTCTTCCAGTGTGGGTAAATCTTGTGTCTTCCAATACTTTGCAATCAGTATTCTTGCTGCTGTTGTTGCATACATAAAAAGAGTTCTATCCTTCTTTGGTCCCTTTGTCCTCTCTTGGCTGGAAGCCAAGAGGGCATCTTTGGCTAAGCAGATGTTGCTTCTTTGATGCATGTAGTCAAAAAAAAAAAGAGATGGCTGCCCTGCCCTGTGCTTTTGTCGTTACCTGCACAGGTGAGGCCACACCCACCTCTAGTCACATGCAGAGGAAGTCTTTCCAAGTCCAGAAGGAAACAGGAAGTTTACCTGCTGGCTGGACAAACATTCCTCCCCATGTGTAAACATGTTGTACTTGACTGCTCTTGTGTTTCACATCCCACAGTTTACCCTCACATCAAGACAATTCTCAGCACACCTAACAAACTACAGTTCCCACCATTCTTTGGGGAAAGTCAAGCACTTTAGAAGTATGGTATATGTACAGCCACAGTCTTCAAATCCACTGGGAAGTCTGAAGAAGAATCACATTCATGTCTGAGGGTTACAACAGCAGCCTAAGGCTTGCTTGAACAAAACCGGATGAGAGGCTGGCCACATCAACCCATGAAAAGGCATATGACAAGGGAACCCATTATGTGCAAAGTCCATTTATTGTATAACTAAATAAGTCCCAGTGCTTTTTCAAAACTCACCAGCTTTTGTGTGTGTGTGTGTGTGTGTGTGTGTTTTCCCCTTCTCCAGAAAATGAACTCTGAAGCAGGATAGAATTAAACTGCTCTAGTCCAACGTAATCCTCTTTCCATACCAAGACAGGCCACCGCAAGTTGGTAAAAGCAACAACCCACTGACTTCTGATTGACTTGCTTTGTGCTTTGATGATTTTGTTTCCTTGCTTGCTTTTTGTTTTAAGAATTTTTTTTAAAAAATCAGTGAAATGATTAATAAAAATATAACTCTCAAGGCAAGGGCATAGATTTTTCCAGCACCAACTCCAGAAGTAGACTAATTGCCTCTTGGGATTGTGCAAGAGACCTGTTGTATATTTATTTATGCAAATTCTTTGTCTGTCAGCCAATCAGTAAAGTGGGTATTTAGTGAGTCAAGAACCATCAAGCTACAGGCAGACAAGTTTGATGACTCAACAGTCCTTTCACCCCAGGAATGTTTTGATTGAAATAAGATGAAGCCTAACCCAAACGGATTGATTAAATCTATCTTGCCGCAGAGAGATAATGCACTTGTTTGGTTTGTTTCAGGTTGCTGAGTTGCGCAGAGCTTAGTAAGTGCCATGTGCAAAGGGGTCTTGAGTGACAACACACACACACACACACACACACACACACACCGGCCTTGCTTGTATGTATATGACAGAATCAAATGTAGGCTCAATGGGACTTTCTCCTATGCTAGAAAACTGGCACTTGATTGTGTGTTTATTACAACTACTATTACTATCACTTGCAACAATATTCACTACAAAAGAAAATGCCTCTTTGTTTCCAGAAGAGAGAGAGAGAGATCTTCCGTATCACAGATCTTCCAAATGTGCAAAAACTAAACAGTAAAACAGATTTATTCTGCACACCTAACAGAAGATACAATCGTTAGCCATTAAAAAGGGAGCCAGTTCACTACTAATATATATTTCTATTGGGTACTAAGTTTTACCTAATGCTGAGAACTGGATGTTTGATAAGCAGGCTCATTTCATTAATAAAATTAACTTCCATTGTTTATAGAGCCATTTATATTTTGAAAGACTTGATTGTATGGGGCGGGGGCTCTGAAGGGGGAGGGGGGCCTTGCTAAGAGGTTCCATGCCAGCACTTGCCATTTTTCAGGGACGAAAAAGGTACATTGTCGGATCTAATGGCAATTGAATATTTACCATGTAGGGAATACAGCTTTTGCTAAATTGCTATGTCCTCAACTGTAAGAAAACAGAGCGTGGTACGGATACGAGGCCAGCAGCTTCTAAATATGTCCTCTTGTAAAAAGAGAACCACAATTGAATTTTCAAGTAAATCTCCATTACGAGTTTGTTCGTATCTCCCCACCTAATCAATCTTGCAGGGGGGTTGTGAGAGGTTGTCTGCCCTTTGCAGTGCGATCCTCTGGGAGTTTGCAAGGAAACTCAATGGTATAGTAGTACCTCAGGTTAAGTATTTAATTCATTCCGGAGGTCCGTACTTAACCTGAAACTGTTCTTAACCTGAAGCACCACTTTAGCTAATGGGGCCTCCTGCTGCTGCTGCTGCGCCGCCGGAGCCCGATTTCTGTTCTCATCCTGAAGCAAAGTTCTTAACCTGAAGCACTATTTCTGGGTTAGTGGAGTCTGTAACCTGAAGCATATGTAACCTGAAGCGTATGTAACCTGAGGTACCACTGTACATCACCGGATTTGCCTGCAGAAGGTTCACAGAGCTACAATCTCCAGAGTGGCTTAACAGTGCCTCTTCACAGTAAACCACAAAGGATGTACAAAGTTGCAGACTTTTTAATTTTAGAGAAAAGGCGTCATGATATATAAACGTAACATTTGGCACGGCATGGGGAAAGTGGATAGAGAAGAGTTTTTCTCCCTCTCTCACAGCTCTAGAACTTGCAGACATCCAGTGAAAGTGAATCTTGAAAGATTCGGGGCAGATAAAAGCGGGCCCGTAGCGCAGTGTGTAGTTAAAACAATGGAACTCACTGCCACAGGATTGACAGTGATGGCCACTAGACTAGAAGAGAATTAGACAAATTAAGGGAGGAGAAAGCTATCCATGCCATAGGAGCCAACTCCTAGGGGCTGAGATCCCTTTGCCCCCCCCATAAAATATTTGAGCGCCCCACCAGTTGATAGGCATTGCCATTCAAATGGTGTGCATGGACAGCATCATGTGATCAAGTATGCAGGGTGAGGCTTAACTAAAGGTAAAGGGACCCCTGACCATTAGGTCCAGTCTTGACCGACTCTGGGGTTGCGGCGCTCATCTCGCTTTATTGGCCAAGGGAGCCGGCGTACAACTTCCGGGTCATGTGGCCAGCATGACTAAGCCGCTTCTGGAAAACCAGAGCAGCGCACGGAAACAACATTTACCTTCCTGCCGGAGCGGTACCTATTTATCTACTTGCACTTTGACGTGCTTTCGAACTGCTAGGTTGGCAGGAGCAGGGACCAAGCAAAGGGAGCTCACCCCGTTGCAGGGATTCAAACCGCCGACCTTCTGATCAGCAAGTCCTAGGCTCTGTGGTTTAACCCACAGCGCCACCCGCGTCCCTTGAGGCTTACCTGCCCCCTTCCAAAAAAATATTTTATTCAAGTTGGCTTAGCACCCCTGTCGGAGGCAGCAACGCTTATGAACAGCAGTTTCTGGAAACCACAGAGCTCCTGCGCTCAGCTCCTGCTGGTAGGCTTCCCAGAAGAGGCATCTGGTCAACCCCGGTGAGTCCCGGATGCTGGACGAGATCGAGATGGGCTGATCCAGCAGGGCTCGTCTTACGTCCTTAAGGCAGTTTTCCCAGGCTGCTGGTGCGTCTGATCCGCAAGAAGCATTAAAAAAAGTCGCGCCAAACTTAGCCCAAACTTCTCGCCGCTGTTCCCTCGGTTGGGGATCCTTTGAAGCCATCCCTCGCGACGACCTTGGGCCGCTCTTTCGCTCGCTTTCCAAGGGGTGTCTCCCCCACCCTCCACCCCACCCTCGCCCGCCTCTGGGCCCTCCCCCTCGGCCTGCCTTCCCCTTCTCCCCGGCGAGCTCGCGATCAGATCCTGGGACCGGCGCGCCAGGCAGCTCGCTGCGCAGCGCCTCGGCCGCGCCGTCGGAAGAGGAGGCGGCGGCGGCGGCGAGGAGGGCGATGCAGAAGCCGGCCGGCCAGAAGGAGCGCCTCTACAAGCTGCTGGTCATCGGCGACCTGGGCGTGGGCAAGACCAGCATCATCAAGCGCTACGTCCACCAGAACTTCTCGCCGCACTACCGCGCCACCATCGGCGTCGACTTCGCGCTCAAGGTGCTCAGCTGGGACCCGGAGACGGTGGTGCGGCTGCAGTTGTGGGACATCGCGGGTGAGTGCCGTGGGGGGGGGGAGGTGTTGAGAGGGGGGGAGCGAGGAGCAAAGGTAGGTCCGCCTTTTGACACGGGGTGGGTGCGCAGGGGGTTGGGGGTGGGTGTCAGAGGTAGAGATAAATCTCTCCACTGATCCGGGCTGGGTGCGCCAGGCGCAAGAGGGGAGAGACGGGGAGGTAGGTTCCCCCCACGATCTTGGAGTGGGTGCTCCAGGCACGGGTGTGTGGCATGCGAGTCAGGAGTAGAGATGGGTCCCTCTACTGACCCGGGGTGTGTGTGTTGTGAGTCCAGTGCTTCCTTGCCTTCAGGACCGGGCGTGGAATTGCGTGAAGTGATAATAGTAGACCCGCTCAGAAGCTGCCTTCTAAACTCTCTGGTTGGAGCCTGCTGAGCCCTACTCCGAGGAGACCCATTGGGATCAATGTGCATGGCTCCACTGAAGTGCGTTGGGTCTCCGAGGGCGAGGATCCCAGCCAAAAACATGGCATGTTTACTCTGTGATCCTGTTGCCCTCAAGGAAGTAATAATAAAATTATTATTAAGTATGCTGTAGGGTTTGCAGGCTGGAAGCATTTCCCAACCCCCGTTCAGGAGCTGTGTTCCAAACTTATGGGCGCGATCCAGCTTGGTTGAATCGGTAGTCCCACAGAGTCAAGTGTGACTCACTTCACTGTGTCAGGATTTCAGCCTTCTTGCACTTCCAAGTCTTGTTTACTTTAGCTAAGAAGCTGAGTTTATGCAGTTTACTCGGTTGTAAGGCCCATGAATTCCATGCACCAAGTAGCATTGCTATCTTAAAACACTTTCAAGTTCAGCGCATTGAAATCAGTGGGATTTAATCTGGCTGGGTCGCCCTGTTAATTAATTAATTAATTAATTAATTAATTAATTAATTAATGGAAAGAGTCTAGCCAGAGTTAAGCATTTTTAAGCCCCTGCTGGTTTTCATTGGAGAGATTTAATGTGTGTAACTCCCTGCCCGGAATCCACGAGACTTTAAAAGTGCTGTAACTGTGGGCAGTTCTATGAGACTCTGCTTTCAAATATTTATTCAATAGTTATTACAGGAGCAAAACAAACAAACAAAAAAACCTCAAACCATTATGGGTTTCTTTTTTTAACCTTTATTAGCATATGTTTAAACAATAAAGGCATACAAAGTCATCCAAATACATTTAAGACTCCAAATACATAAAATATATAAAAAGGCTCAGTAACCACCACTGAATATATCAGACAACTTTAGATTTAGTTTTAAAAATCCCGGCTAAGTATCCCAAAACAATCTTGGTAGTTTCAGGAATATCATCCCTCAACAAGTATTGGGTTATAGATTCTTTATGTAACTGTTTAAATCACACACGCCCATCTAGTTTATGATAAATCAAATTTCCATTGATTTCAGTAGGAATCCAGATATCTAGATCTCTCTACTCTAAGGTAAGGCCAATTGAGTTAAATGGCACTTACTCCCAGATAAGTGTGTGTAACACTGCAACCTTAATAAAAAATTAAAAAATAGTCCAGTAGCACCTTAGAGACCAACTAAGTTTGTTGTCCAGTGTATCTGAAGAAGTGTGCATGCACACGAAAGCTTATACCTAGAACAAACTTAGTTGGTCTCTAAGGTGCTACTGGACTATTTTTTAATTTTTGATTTTGACTGCATCAGACCAACACAGCTTCCTACCTGAATTGCAACCTTAAGTATATGCATCATCTCTTCCTTTGAAATTAGGAATGCTTAATCTTGGTTGGATGTTGCCTTTAGAATGCAAACTCTTTGATGCAGAGGCCTTCCTTCTGCACTCATTATTCTAGTTGTATTCATAGGTAAAGGTAAAGGGACCCCTGGCCGTTAGGTCCAGTCACAGATGACTCTGGGGTTGTGGCGCTCATCTCGCTTTACGGGCTGAGGGAGCCGGCGTACAGATTCCAGGTCATGTGGCCAGCATGACTAAGCGGCTCCTGGCGAACCAGAGCAGTGCATGGAAATGGCATTTACCTTCCCGCCAGAGTGGTACCTATTTATCTACTTGCACTTTGACGTGCTTTCGAACTGCTAGGTTTTGCAGGAGCAGGGACCGATAAATGGGAGCTCACCCCGTTGCGGGGATTCGAACCGCTGACCTTCTGATCGGCAAGTCCTAGGCTCTGTGGTTTAGACAACAGCACCACCCGCATCCACCCGCTGTATTCATATGTCACAGTAAACAATAGTTAAACAGCTTACCGTGAATGAAGAGATCGTTCCCACTTCACTTTTCCCCTAGTGCAAGTAGGAGCACAAACCCTAGTTTAGTGGGATTGTGGATTGCTTTACTCCAAACCATGGTCTCTTCCAGGCAACCTGATTTGCTTGCAGAGAGGTCCAAAAGCAACTTTTTGCTGAGCATCCACTCTCAATTTGTTTTGGGGAAAGTTAGATGACATTATGTCAGCAAGTGTCTTTCCTTCTCTCAAAAATCTTGCTGTTTTCTGGGAAGCTGGTTTGTTGCACAAGAGCTCCAAACCAACTTTATTCGTGCAACCTGAGTTTGCCTGTACCTGACTGAATCCCACCTGAAAATAACAACAGTTTGGAAGTTCCCCACAAACTGATAAGCCAGGAACAAACCACAGCTTCACCATGACTCACCATGACTTCTGGGTTAGATGTAACGCTAAACCATGGTTTGTCGCTTGTACTAGGGAAGGAGCTTTTTCAAATAACAATTTACTATGGCTTTACTGTGGCGCACAAAAACAGCCTCTCTGAAGCATGATGCACATTCTGTAAGAAGCAAGGATAACAAGGAAACCGGATGCCTTCATCTGTCCCTGCAGGTGTGCCCCCAAAGGCTCCTCCATTGTCCCATGAGACAGATGGAAGCCAACCAGCCAACCAGCCAACCAGCCATGGATCCAACATCTGGGGCTTCCACCGGAGGGAGAGAATAGACCATTTCAGATGGTTTCTACTTCCTATCCTGCTCCAAAGGGGTCTCTGTAGGGATCTGCAGGAGCAAGTGATGAATATCACTCCCCCCTCTCCACCCACAGGAACGTCAAAGTAGTGGAGACCCTCTCTAGGCAACTCTGGATGCAACCCGTTTATGTTTCTTAGATGCCCTTGAAAGTATAATGTGCAAATGGGGATGAACCTGTGTTTGCAGCACTTTGTGGGGCTGCAGTCCTCAACTGCTGCTCTAGACTAGAGAGTGAGCCCCACTGAATTCAGCTATTGGCTCTGCCTAGGCTTGCACAGCCAGGGGGCCCATTTCAAAGAATGCTGAGCTTCTACCCAGCCACCAATCCATTTGATAGAGCTGAAGCATGCCCAAGAGCGTAGGCTCTCTGCATGATCAGAATCTTTACAAAAGTCACATGCTTTTTAGCTGCCACCCTCATTTTGCTCCAACCACATCTCTAGCAACCAAGGAAAAAGCACGAGTTCATTTTTATTGCAATAAAATAGCCATCGGATAAATGGATTCTTCGGCAATCATCATGTTCTAGGCCAAATCGCTGCAGTACACTTTTGCAAAAAATTAAAAACCAGTTGCCTTTGGCCCTTAAGAAGAAGAAGAGTTTGGATTTGATATCCCGCCTTTCACTCCCTTTAAGGAGTCTCAAAGCGGCTAACATTCTCCTTTCCCTTCCTCCCCCACAACAAACACTCTGTGAGGTGAGTGGGGCTGAGAGACTTCAAAGAAGTGTGACTGGCCCAAGGTCACCCAGCAGCTGCATGTGGAGGAGAGGGGAATCAAACCCAGTTCACCAGATTACGAGTCCACCGCTCTTAACCACTACACCACACTGGCTAAATATAGGAATAGTCTGTGTCTGCCTCCTGAACTGGGTCTGCTGAAGCTTACCTGGATGGGCAGGATGGTGCTGAGGTTGGGGATATACATTTGCAATGGGGGAAGTACTGGAGTGGCTCTTTGGGACAGCCCTGAACTCACCCCCATACCATCCAGGGATGCTGCAGCAGCACCTGTGTTGAGAATCAGCTCCACAGCCCAGTCATACCTGCCACTCCCACTTACACAGGAAACTTCATGCATAAAGCATATTACAGTGGTACCTTGGTTCTCGAACTTTATCCGTTCCGGGAGTCCGTTTGAATCCTGAAACTGTTCAAAAACCAAGGCTCGGCTTCCGATTGGCTGCAGGAGCTTCCTGCACTCAAGCGGAAGCCGTCTTGGACGTTTGGCTTCTGAAAAATATTCGCAAACCGGAACACTTACATCCAGGTTTGCAGTGTCCAGGAGCCGATTTGTTTGGGAGTCAAGCTGTTCAACAAGCAAAGTACCACTGTACTTTGTAGTTTCTGCTTTTAATTTGGTGTGTTGACTTTACTTGCCAGTGTTGCCCTGCTCATGCATTCTACAGAATTCTTATGCTTAATTTATTCTTTTTGGCCACCGATGCACAAGACCTCGGGGTCCGCATCACATGTCGCAATATAGTGTAGTGCTGTGGCCTATTACAGAATTGTCACTGAAATATTTATCCGATAGTTGTTGTTTTTAAAACAATTTGTTCTACTTTTTTTTCCTAAGTGGTTTTTCTGTTTTGCTGTAAGGATTCTCTTTCTCTCCCAACTGCACCCCTAGCCATTCCTTCAGTGCCATGTCAAGAAAAATATGTTTTAGAGGCATGCATTAACTGCCTCTACGAAAACAACAACAACCTATAACCCAGTATTACTCAGATGAGGGTTTTGCAAAAAAATAAAATTAAAATGTAGCTACAGCTTTAATTTCTTTAAACTCTCCTCTTACTGATTCCCCCGCCCTGTCTCTCCCTAGAATTACATAAAACGAGACCAGGGAAATAAAATTCCTGACGTTCTTTTGGAATTAAAGGATTTTAGGTGCTTGTGCTGCGCGTTTGGCAGGGCCGAGACGAACAATAATTTTGCAATGGTGCCATTTGCATCTCATCCCTTTGACATTGTGCACACATACCTGGCTTGTCAAACTGCCTCTATACCTCTAGAATCCTGCACTAG